TGATGTTTGATGCTGTTGTGGTTGAGGTGGGCCTGTCAAAATCCGATAGTTCCGTTAAAAAATCTAAAAAAAAATATTACGGCGAGCTACGAGGAAGAGATAAAAGTAGTACTATATTCTATAAGGTTTACTCTATCGAATCGTTACTTGAACTCCTTCTGAGGATTGATATGAAAGTTTTAAAAATTCGTGAAACTTGACCATCTCAAAAAGCATAGGTCGCAGATTTTGGTTATTTTCTAAAAGCTCATTGACTGTTTTGCAACAATTTCACGATCTTTATAAAGAGAATGAAATGCTGCATCGAATGCATCCAAAATCTTTTAGAAACCTTTGTTTCATCTCATGTGGCATCCGTTTGAAAAAAGCGAAATTACTGTCGGAATGACCTAATATGTAGCAAGAGCGGTATATAGATGCATACCCCAGTCTACAGTTACGACGTGACGAGCATGTACAACGAGGCGCTAAAGAATTTCAAGGTGGAGATCGCACTAGCTGAAAGAAGCCAAAGGCCTGAAAAGCAGGTACCCGTAGGATGGCTACACCAAGATGTGTCGCGGCATTGGAGAGGGATGGCCTTTGAGGAGAAGTAATTACTAAAGTAGAAATGCAGTTTAACACAAGTATGCCTTGGAAGGATTGAAGCATTGTCGGACGTGGGTCATCATGTGGCCGATGGGCACGCGTAAAGAAGGAAGTGATCACGGATACCATATTGATGTGCAAAAAAACATCTTGAAGAAGGAGGAGAACTGATCTCAATCTGGCCAGCACTAGTATGTCGCGAGGTACACATATGGAAAGTCATGCAAAACAGACAGTAATTGAACCACCTTGAAAGAATTTGCGAGCATGGACCAATTGTACCTTTTAGCGTCTACCCTTGTTGAAAATGGTAGCGTATGGATAAAGGCGCAAGCGCCTGAAAGTTCATTTCAGTTCTATACACCTACTGTGGAGTAATGAACGCCAAACATACGAAGCCATCAGGACGCGAGCACCCGGCGCAAAACTGGAAGAACTCCCACCGCCTTCGAGGTCGACGGCTCCCCGGAAGGGAGGGATATTGGACGATGCAACAGATCATCAATACGGAGTCGGCGGGAAGAAGAGGCGATTTGACCCTCTCAAGGCCATAAAAGCGGAAGAGAACGGGGAGCCGCGAGCAGAAGAGGCTCGAAAACTGGTCAAGAGAGAGCCAGACCTTCTTACATAAAAAATCGAAAATTAATGAGTTTTCACGTAATGTGTGAAGCGTGTGAAGCTAACGGGACGAAGCTGAAGAAGGTGAAGGTGAAGCTAACAGACGTAACGTGTGAAACTCTGCTAGAGGGTTAAATCAAGACATTTCTCCCGGTCTCGTGTTTTTTTTGTTGTTTTTGTTCATTGTTGGCCGGGGCCGTTGTTGTTTGTTTCGCCATACGGATAAAATTTATTTTATTCAATCTAATCATGTGCCTAGTTATTAAAAATAAAACTTCAACGTACCATTAGACACTAGCCCACAGTTACAATCATGCTCTCCTTCACATGACTATAGAAAGCGCTTTAACCAAACACTTTCCACGTCACGTAAACGAAAGCAGTAAAGTTTATGCAGCGAGAAAGCAAGAGAGAAAAGCAATTCGCCACGGAAATGCTACTGCAGAAATAGTAGCATTTCCGTGGCGAATTGGAGCAAAAGATTTGGAGCAAAAGCACGGGAAAGGAAGGAGCATGCGAGAGTGGAGCAGCAGCCAAAGAAGAGAGGGTAGGTTCATTTACCGGCGGGAACAAATATTATATTTTAAATAATACTACAGCTGTGTTTTGCCGGACTAGCTTGGCTCACGGTCCAGACCGGGGGCGCCGACTAGTACTCAACAAAATGTCAGGTCATTAATTTTCTAGCTCGCAAGTAAGATAGTTTTTGAAATACAGATTCGTTGGCACAGCATGCACTAGCACTATAGGCACAGCTAATCGGTATTCAAAACGGTTCATTCTTCTTATTGTTGGAACACTGACAGCGATTAGCCACATGTCGCATGAGAGTCATCTAAAACGTTCAAGAGTGAGTAAGAACAGATCTGCTGCTGCATGTATTGCTGCAAAACAGTTGTCGAGCTACGCATCCAACATATATCATAAGCGAGAAACTCGGCCGAAACTATTACGTTGGTGCAAAAATAATGGCCGATTTGCGAATTCTCACTTTGACGTGCTATAACTTTTTGAAAGATTCACATTTTCGAATGCGGTAACGATCATCAGAGGCAGCAAACCTTCTGCAATACAGCGCACATTTAGTTATACTCATATCACGAACGGGCAGAAAAATATGGACTGAAAAACAAAAAAGGTTTTTCTGTTAGAAACTTGGACAATTTATAACTTCCTTCAAAGTTTGTTAGTATGAATGACAAGTAGCCTATCTTGTAGCCGCAAGCCAGTATTACAAAATGCAATAAAGAGAATTTGGACAGAAGAGTTTGCGAGAAAGAGAAAAAAATTGAAATTCAAAATTTTCCACTTTTTTCAACATTTTTTCAATGTGGCGCAAATCCCGAATATAGAAATTTCTAATTTTTTACGTACTGAATAGCTGGATGTTTTTGCAAAAGCTGCTAATAGAATGCCCTAACCTTACGCTTACAGAATTGAGCAAAGCTTCGGCGATTGACCTCTTCAGAAGAAAATTATGGGGCGTAAAATGACCGCAACGTCTATAGATGTTGAGAAGCCGATATCTCAGTCCAGAGGTGCGATAGTTGGAGCCGAGTCTCCGCCTACCTTCACTTTTGAGCTGGTACGGGGTGATCACCTTCACTTTTGAGTTTGAAAAAATTTTTTTTTTGCTGAAACTCAAGAGAAGGAAAATAAGCAAAAGAAACGCAAAAGAAAGTATTAAGAGCATATATCTATGTAGTAAGTCGATCTAGGCAGTAACCGCCGAGAACCAGAATTTCGAATGATAAAATAGCGAAAAAATCATGCGAAATTCCCACTGTTATAAGTCTGGTGGTTGAAGATGTCAGCAACTGCGACTTTATAGGTTTTGAAGGGCAAGTGTTGTTCTACCAGATGATGAAAGAATCAGGTCGATCTGAGCAGTGACCGCCATGAACGAGGATTTTAAAAAATTAAGCGATTTCAGGTTACTTAGTGACAGCTTGCGTTTAGACTCCTATAAATCTGGACTGTGAAGGTATGCAATGTTGCGACTTTAGAGGTTTTGTAGAGTAAAAATTGCTCTATCGGACTTTGTCTTAGCCGTACCAATCCACCAAGATACCGCGGAGATTCAGGCTCTCAAAAAAACAGGTAAAAACCGCTTTTCAAAATTCAACAGCTCATAACTTCTTCAGAATTGCATGAATCATGTTGCGACTTTATAGATTGGATTCTCCTTTTTAAGAGCTTTCAGGTGATATATAATATGTGGGGGTTTCGTGCCTCACACGGCATATGTCCGGCGGTGGAGACTTTTCACCCCAAAGTCTTCACTAGCGGTCTCCGGCCAATACATTAACATGGGCGAGGTGGAGACTTTGGGGTAAAAAGTCTCCACCCTGGGTTAGAGCCGCAAAATCATTGAACCCCCCACATATTATATATCATCTGAAAGCACTTGAAAAGGAGAATCCAACCTATGAAGTCGCAACATGATTCATGCAGTTCTGAAGAAGTTATGAGCTGTTGAAGTTTAAAAAGCAGTTTTTTACCTGCTCCTTGAGAGCCTGAATCTCCGCGGTATCTTGATGGATTGGTACGGCTAAGACATAGTCCGATAGAGCAATTTTTACTCTACAAAACCTATGAAGTCTCAACATTGCATACCTTCACAGTCCAGATTTATAGGAGTCTAAACGCAAGCTGTCACTAAGTAACCTAAAATCGCTTAATTTTTTAAAATCCCCGCCTCGGCGACCACTGCTCAGATCGATCTAATTCTTTCACTGTCTGGTAGAACAACATTTGCCCTTCAAAACCTATGAGGTCGAAGTTGCTGACATCTTCAACCACCAGATTTATAACAGTGGAAATTTCGCATGATTTTTTCGCTATTTTATCATTCGAAATTCTGGTTCTCGGCGGTTACTGCCTGGATCGACCTACTTTATTCGCAGTACGTTAAAACAAAGTTTACTTAATAAAATACGTTCTAACTGGGTTTTACTTACAAATAGACCATTTGAATAACACGTTTATTTATTTTTTTAATTTTTATGCCGCTGTACTCATCGTATTTGTGGCCCTAAAGAGGGCTATTAGGTCACACTTGTTGGCCCTCAAGGAGACCGTTGGGTCAGAGTTCTTCAATTATCCAAAGTCCCCCCCCCCCGGTCGACGTTTTTGAGAGGTGAGTGTCCGGCACTACCACCTTCACTTTTGGCCGGCCAGTGGTAGCTGGAACCATCTTCACTTTTGTTGGACCCGGCTCCACCTATCGCACCTCTGTCTCAGTCTGGATAGTTTCAAAAAATACAGTTGAATATGCATAATGTAGACAATTCCTATGGCAGACAATAGTTAAATTTCCGAAATGGCGCCATCCGTAGTCACTCGGATTCCGGCCAGAAAAGAGACTGCAGCAAAACTCCAAATTTGAATGCTGTTATTTGTAGCTCAGTAACTTTATGATAGATGAGAATGAAAGCTCTCTTCTACCAGCATTAGATAGTCCGTAAAAGTACCTTCTCAGTGGTATGCTGTATCTGTTCCAAAGGAGAAATTTTGATGATAAAAAATTGGCCTGAAAAAAGGCTTGGATAATTGGCCATCATTTTTGCACCAATTTAATACTTTTCAAAAACTCCTCAAACTTTTCAAAAACTCCTCAAACCCAAACTTCGGACTTTGAAAACTGAAGCAGCATGTGAACTCAAGCTTGCAAGCGTTTCAGGAAAGATCGAATCAAGCTTTTGCTCGTGCTCCACACATATACAAGCAGTTTGAAGCATACTTTTACAGCTCAAGATACTTTATCAGAGGTTTTTAAATGTATACAGTTGTCAGTTATGGTCATGTAGACGATACTGATCGCGTTACACTCGTCTGCCCAGAGTTTCGGCAAATCAAAGCCTGCGATTCCATGAGAAGTCGTTCCTAAAAACGTCCTTTGTTCAAGTTTTGTTTTTACTTCATCGTAAGGTATTACTACCTGGCTAACGTTCTTTCTACGCCTTTTTGCTAAAATTGTAAAGAGTACCAAAAAAGCAAAAGTTGCCATAATTAAACCGAAAGCAGCTGCAGCAACGAGACCTGTAAGTTCTTCCTAAATTCAAAAATGGAATAAAAATTGTGTGACTTTGATGCATTGTTCGTATCTATCGTTTTTGGTTTAACAATAGTCAGCTCAAGATTCTTCGAAGCTTTGTGAAAAAGAAGAAAGCAGGCAAGTTAGATATGGTTTTTTTGGGAGAAAAAGCACAGGGGATAACGTTTTTGCTGAATAGCATGCCGCTGTCTTTCGATATGACACGCTGCCGGCCTGCTGGCGGCATGCTCTCCCAAACAAACAAAGGCTTGTTTACAGCCTTGAAAATTAATTGACACAACATTGGTGTGTAGGTGGGCAATGTTAATTGACTCTGTTTCAAAAATTATGAAAAAATTATGTGGACTGATGGCGTGTCAACTTTTTCTGCAGTTAGGTGTCTTTCATGTTATCTGAAAACCACCCGAAGTGGCTTGGGAAGAGTCATAAATTTCGCCTCTCTCGCATATTTTTTAACCTTATATGCATAAATCTCATCTAAGTCCCATACTCTACAAATTTATTTTTAGCCGCCTCAAATTACCTTGCGCCCGCATAGTTACAGCCCTTTGAATATTCCGAATGGCGGAGGCAACGCTGCTCCAGGCGCGTAAGTGCTGCGCGCTGAGTACCTCATGCTGCCAATACGGAGAATACGGAAATTATCGCGTTTGTTGATGCGTTTTGGTGTTTCTTGTTTTGCTTTGTTTTATTCCTTTTCATGCGTTTTCTCTTGTCATGGTGGATGTCGTACTTTCATCATAAAGTCAAAGAAGACTTCGTTTTTTGCAATTACGGGAGCCACCTTGTGCCAAGCCCTACACTGAATTCGCCAATTTCGCCGAAGCCAGCGATTTTGCGCCTTCTCAGGACTATTCCCTACTTTTTCAATAAATTTTAGGAAGGAAATCAGATTCGGATTCAGCTCATCCAGACAAATCTCAAGGTAATTCGTACTCGTGTAATCGGCTCAGTCACGGCAAGTGTATAGTAAGAATTGAGGTGGAGGAAAGAACGCCTCCATTGAGTACCTCCTCCGCGGATTATTGGTCCCAACACGATGCACAACAGTAGGACGAAAGACCAGCAGTCCGCGAAGGTAGTGCCTAATTGAGGTGTTCGTCCCTCTACCCTGAGAATTGGTTGCATTCTTTGGTGGTGCAAAATCACATGGAGTCAAAATCACTCATTGTCAAACTACCATAACTCTTCAGTGATGTCAAGGTCGTGGTAAGCATTGAATGAATATTGTAATGAGCGTGTCTTTTTGCTATATGAGCAAAATTTTGCGCTAATCTGAGGGCTCTGAATATTGAGCAACAATGTTGATAAGCACGCTTCGTAAAGCGTAGCCCAGTGCGCAATACGTACGTGAATTTCGGAAAGGTGAACGATAGGACACTTCTCACATAATCCTGCCAATGAAGAATCTTCGAATTTCCGCAGAGGCAAGGCGAAAATGTCTTGTAAACTTTGGAAAAACGTACGCCTAAAATCTGCCTAGCGTACACTGTTCGCGAACGCAGTTCCAATCTGTACGCATCTTCAACCGGTGCCAGGCTATACGCCTACAAAAGCACAATCACACAATATTTTGTCCGCAACAAAGACCTCGTCTCTGAAACTATTAAAAAGAGGTTTGTGATACACTGATCCGAATCTGCCTAAAATCATTTGAAAATGAAAGAAATCATGCTGAGATGACGAAAAGATGCCGACTTCGACGAAATCGGCAAATTCGGCGAAGCCCGCGATCGCCGAGGATTTCATTTCTAGTGTCATAGCTACACAACACCGCACGTTATTTCCCCAAAAAAGAAGCGACGGTCACCTGAAATGGATGACATTACGTAAGTGGCAAGATATCGTTTCATAAGTGACGAAGTTCACCAAGGGCACCCGATTCAGTTCAACAGGAGCAACTTTCTTCATGTAAAGTGCCTGTTTGATCACGGTAAAAGCACGCCAAATTTCGCAATGTCTAGTAGTTTGTTGATTACCATAAGTTATGGCGCCTTCGCTGCACAATAACTAGTCTATCGCGCGAAAATTGTACTTAATCGTGATGTATGACTGCCTACCGACATACCGTACCCAAACAGACTCCTCCACATATCATAAGATGAGCCTCGTCAAGTTAAATCGAATGCTGCCCTTAGATTTGGTAATAAGCCAACTTTGAAGTGAGATATCGAAACGCTATACTGACTTCACTTAATTCATGTGACACTCGCCTCGTTGATAGAAATGGAGCGGGGTTGTAAAAAACTCAAAACTTGTGCGTACGCTTATGGTTAATTAATCCGACTGGAAACCTTTCTGAGTGGATCTATGCGGTCAAGATTTGCTCACCTAAATCAGTTACGGCGGAGAATAGGCCATTTTCTGTGCAGGGGACGGCATGAGGTTTTTTGGTTTTTCTAAAACGAAGTTCCCTTCGTAGACTTCTCCCACAATACGACGTCACCTATGATGTGGTCATGAATGGATCAAAACTAACGAAAAACAATGGAACAAAACATAAAAACAATATTAAACAGACGGAAAAAAACTAAAGATGTTTGTATTCTCCAAGTTGGCGGCATGCTGTGTCCGACGCGCATCCTTGCGCGCTTGTAGCAAATTGCCGCTGCTATACAAAATATTTGAAGGGCTGTAACTAGGAGAGGAAGAAGGGGTTCAGGGAAACTCAAAAACATTTTTTTCAATTTTTGTAAAGAAAGAGAAATTTATGGTAAAAAATTTTTGTAAAGGAAGGGAAATTTATGACTTTTCACGGTCACCTCAGGTGGCTGGAAAGCCACCTGAGAAAAAAGTTTGCCACGCCTTCAGTTCACATAACTTTTTCGTATTTTTTGTGCACAGTCCTCACTCCCTGTTGCTCATTTACACCCCAATTTTGATGTCGTTTCATTTTCTTAGCTGTAAACAAGAATTTTGTTTATTCCGGGATAGGTCTAAATTCGCGGCGAACCTGTCAAAATGAGAAATTTCTGTTTATGCAGAAATGGGATCGATAAGGCAGGAATGACAATTTGCTCCTCTTATAGAAGCTGAAAGGTGACAAAAAGGGAGAAGGGGTTGTGTATGGGGGTTTCCGCTCAAACGACATCCCTCTTGCTTTTTATTCGAATCGTTATCCAGCTTTCCCGTAATCACTTGTGCCGAGCCCTGTTTCTGTGTTGAATCGGTGTGGGCCTCTATTGACTTATTATTTTGTTAACTTATATTTGGTAGCGAAGTTATGGAGAAACATTTGTTTCTAACCAATGTAATTATTTCTTTATAATCACATTAAAAAAGGCAGTAAAGCTTATCTTTATTTTTGGTCAGCAGGCCTCAAAAGTCAAGATTGCTTTAATAATAGGTGGCTGCAAAAGTTTGTTGCCAAATTTCAAAAATCATATCTTCCTTCTTACTCGATGGATTTCTTTAACTTTATATTTTTCTGGAACAGGAAACCATTTTCTTCACAGCGTACCTTTCCCAAGAGCGGGCACGGGAAAGCTCGAGATGTAGAAACGATTGAACGAAATAACTCAAATTGGCATTTTTCGAGTAGAATCACGAAAAAATCTGAATTGTTTTTCATGAATTAAAAAGAAAATATGAGAATTAGAAACAAATAAAGGGAGTACTTCAGTTTTTCAATTTTGGAGCATGCTTAAAAGGGCCTTAAAACGTCACAGCGAGACCGTGGTCATAAACATGCGTTTTGTGACATTCTCTGTCAAGCTGAGAGAGTTCCGTGCTAATCGAGAGCAATTCTGATTTTCGTAAAAAAAGCAGTCCCGAAAATCCGAAAAAATTACGAAAATCAAAATTGCTCTCGATCAGCTCGAAACTCGCTCAGCTAGAAAGAGAAGGCCACACAACCTACGTCTATGACCGTTTCAGTCTATACTATGACCTTTTTAGGCTTTTTCGAGCATGCTCAAAAATTGCAAAACTAAAGAACTTCCCTTTGTTCGCTTCCAAATCTCGATCTTTTTCGTTTTAATTCTTTTTTTCTTTTTTTAGCATTTCGTTTTAGGTTTTTCTTTTTTAAAATTTACTACGCCCCTCTGCTCTCTGGTAAAGCACTGTTTTTTTCAATATTTTTCATGCAAAAGTCATTGGCTTGGAGACACACATGCTAAACAAATCAACAGTTTTGCAAAAGCTTGGATACACATCTAGTTTTGTAGATTAAAAGCCGCAGGAATCCATATGGCGCAAATCTCTTCGAAGCTTTCACTTATCGGATCGAGTTATGGTTTTGCAGTGGACCTATCATGCATCCCCAGAATTGTTTCATAAGAACCATCAATGTGGCTGTCTTTCGCTCACTTTAACATGTCAACTTCGAATATGCGCCTTGATTTGCTAGAACTGACGTGTTGAAGCGATTGAAAGGCAGTTAATGATCTATAAGGAAACACCTCCTGGGAATGCACCATACATGCTGATGGATTGCTACAATCAAATTTTAGCTCAATCGCTTGGCTAGAACTTGCTCTACAGATTTCGCAACACACACACACACCACACACACACACACACACACACACACACACACACACACACACACACACACACACACACACACACACACACACACACACACACACACACACACACACACACACACACACACACACACACACACACACACACACACACACACACACACACACACACACACACACACACACACACACACACACACACACACACACACACACACACACACACACACACACACACACACACACACACACACACACACACACACACAGTACATGCAAGTGAGCGGGCCCAGGAACGAGAGAGGCGGACCACAAAGGACTTCCTGTGTATTTTCACTGAATGCAGATTTGGAAAGCGTCGGAAAAAGCATTTTCATGCGCTAAAGAGCCCGGATACGGGTTCCCTATGGCGAGACGGGCTCCGAAAAGTGAAAAAACGGAAAAACGAATTTTTGCCGAGACACTGCCTTCAACTTGTTTCAACTAGCGAAAATGTCGGAAGGCCATTTTCCAAAACGAGATTGGATTTTGATATGTAATCTATTTTTTACAGAATTCTTCTGCCAACCTCGCAAAATCTATATCCCTTTTTCCCGCAAAGCCTTGTCAGCTTTATCCGGTGCCAGCCATCCTGCGTACCAACAATAAGAGCGGGTGCGAAGATGAGACACGTAACTGACCTAGGAGAGCATTATTCTCGTAAGTTTCGTAAATTCTTCGCTCTTTCTTGATGGGTTTATGTCCAGTGTTGAAAACATCTCTTTTCAGCGCAATGGTCTTGAACCTCTTCTTCTCCACTTGTGTTACTTCATCGTAAGTGAAAATTTCAATGGCCCTGTCAGGATCAGCAGCCTTCACTGTTCTCAACGCTGGCAAACCAATAGATTCCATACCATAATTATTGGCGATTTGTAGGACTGGTACTAAATAAAGGTTTGAGACATGTAACTCCGGATTCTTATAAAAGTAGAAGAACTTATTTGAATTTTTGAGAGCTTCCAGTTTGGTTGACTTACGTATGCTATGATATGCTATAAAGATGTGCCGCCATCTCTAGACTCAGTTTTACAGTACGTTCATTTTATTCTCACAGAAAAAAAATAATCCATGCTTTATCTGTATGCTGGCGATGCTTGATCGTGATGGTAGGCAAGTTTCGACCATTAATCCGCAGTGCATTAACAAAACCTTCTTTTTCTTTCTCTTGTCAAACGTTTTTCTGTCCTCAAATGTTAACTTTCTATTCACTTGAAATGATGTTGGGAATTGCGTGTGGGATCAAGTTTGGTCAGGTAATAGCAAGCACAAAATTTGAAGTTTTAGCGTCATTTCCAGTAAAAAAATTGATACGTTTCAAACATGATCAGTGCCACCTGTGTTCACACCATTTCAACTTACAATAGTCTTACTCTTAATGCACAAGAAAATAAACGCTCAATTTCTTCTAAACACGAAAGCAATAATAAGCCATCAGGTTGGTTGTATTTCGAGACAATGATTAAGAGGAAATCACAGAAAATTATAAGAAATATTAAGTGGCAAGGTGTTTTTTTTATTAGAGGTTGCTTTCGCAACCTTGAAGTAGCTTGAGCGTGCGCGGGACTAGACAAAGTCATAACTGGCCTTTCACCACACAATACTTTAAAAGTCTTTACATGAAATTATCTTTTAGTTCAATCCTACCTAGAGGACTATATGTCGCTAAAAAGGGAACTCTCAATAAACACCTTTTAATAGCCCTAATAATAGCCTTTCTATCTCTTTTGGTGAAAAGTCTGCAGCTACACTTTAGTGCACTAAAATCTAAACACTATTATGAATAGTACTTGCTGGTATCTTTTATGTTGGATAGGGATTGCGTTACATCCTTGCAAACAGACCTTCGCAGAAGAACATGAGAAAACTGAAAACGGAATATCGAGGACACGCTGCAGGTCAGAAGATTCGCCTTCACGACCTAACTACAATGCTGCTTTCGAATTCGGAATATTCATTCCAAAGGAAGTTATGGCACTGTGTAGTTTGCGTGAGTCGCGTGGATTCCGTGAAATTCTAAGAATGTCGCGGATTTCTCGGAAAGTCGCGAAACGGAACTCCTCTAAAAATATTTTTTCAGTAAAACTGTTTAGCGCAAAACTGTAAAAGCGTGTACTGTTGTTACATAACCAATCAAAGTAAGAGGCAAACAAAAGAGAAATTACAGGGAATGAGCAGGTCTAGTCTTAAAGTCCGTCGGTAATCCGCAGAGTGTGCAGTACTGATATTAACTTACATATGACTCGAGTAACTTGGCGCTAATAATACAAGCACCACCAAAGGTGTTATTTTGTGCAGTTTTAAGCAGGACTCCGCGAAAGATGAGAATCTCACGACCTCGCAAAGTGTTATACACACTTGTTCTACTCCACTGTTCTTTTTAAAAATAACAGGCGAAAATATTGATGGTGTATCACTGCTCATTGCACAGCTTTTCTTTGCAAATTATTTTTACACCAGTGCGTCACCTCTGCTTCGCAGAGGTTCGCACTGGCTCTACTATCTATGTGCCTTATTCATTCTCGTAAAATCGTGGCAGTGGAACTCACCGCACTATGCCGACTACCACGAATAAAATGTAAACAACCACTCATTTAGAAAATCTTTTCACGTGAGATCGGTGATTTCGAGTGGATGAAACTTTTCGCAGGAAGACAAACGCAAATTTGAATAGGTTTTTGGGTTTGTCATGACTTGGTAGTCGCCATAAAGGTAACGATAACCGTGAGCTACATCTCTGTGCGAAAATCTTCTCAAACGCTTAGCTAGAACCTTGGCAAATTGACCATTTACACAACCAATTCGTTATGGCGCCGTTTTCGTTATGTAGTAAACTTTCGACCACTTTTCTGGCTAAACTCCATCGCTTGCACATTTGCTTACCAAACTCATCCACGACTCTGCAAAAAGTGGTGATACGGACCGACTTTTGCGGTACAGAAGCCAGGTGGACCCGTTTGGCGCGCAAATTCTGAGGGATCCACTCAACGAATCTACTCGTGCTTTTGCATGTTGGACTTTCACGAAGGTAGCATGCGCTATACAAAATTTGGGCTTAGAACGTTGGCTGGAACACGCTCCACGAATTTCGTAACAGACAGACACACACACACACACAAAGTCACGTAAACATCCTTAGCCCGTTATTATAAGTCACCAGTGCTTCACCTCTGCTTCGCAGAGGTTCGCACTGGCCATCATGAAAAGTATAGGTAAACTTACGTAATGATCTTGGCCTTCATCATTCTTTGATGGAGGAGACCGCAAAGTAATTACAAAAATGAACCTTACTTGCTTTGCAACTCTCACATGCATTTAAGCAATGTAAATCATTCCTCACTGTAATTTCGTAACGGACAAACTCCACACAACTTCAGATTAAGCCGCTTATTATAAGTCACCAGTGCGTCACCTCTGCTTCGCAGAGGTTCGCACTGGCTCTACTATCCGTGCCTTCTTCGTGATCGCATAATAATGACTTTGAAACTCACCGCGCTATGCTGAACATCACGAATGAATTGTAAACAACCATTCATTTTTAGTGCTTTTCCATGTAAGATTGGTGATTTTAAGAGAAAAAAATTTCCCGCAGAAAAACAAATGCGATTTTGAATGGGTTACTGAATTTATTTTGGCTTTATATTCGCCATAAGCATAAAGACCACTTTGGGTTACATATCTATTCAAAAATCCTCTCAATTTTTATAGAAAAATCTTGGCAAAGCGACAATTTGCTCACTTACATCTTTTTGGCGCCAATTTTGTGTAAAGATTGACTTTCTGCTTACTTTTTGAGCTGAAGTCAATGTTTTTCGGATTTACTTGCTGAACAAATCCACGACTTTGCAAAAAGCCCAACTATCGACAGATTTTGGCGGACCAAAAGTCGGGGGGACCCGTTTGGCGCTCATTTTTCACACGTTCCACTAATCGGATCGGCTTTTGCTTTTGCACAGTTTACCTACATGCTGATAGGGTACTATGACCAAAATTTTAGCTCAAGATCTTTGATGGAGGCCGCTCTACGAATTTCGTGACAGACAGACGTACACACAGACAGACAGACAAACAGACGTAAACACCCTTAGCCCGTTATTATTAAGTCATAGATGATATGTACAGCCTGGTGAAGCCTTGCTAGAACAACGCAAACCTTTAATATCCTTTTCCAGGGTCGGTAGTAATTGACTCTACCTGGTGGCATCATATTAGTTCGGTCCGAAAATTCGCGCTATTTTTTAGACCTATGCTCAAATTACTTTGAATAACGATAGACACACGCTCTAAACAGTGTTCGATGTAGAATTTCTTCCTCTTTCTAATGCTCATGTCTTTATTTAGATTCCTTCGTTGTCCGTTCGGATAATCGTCAGGATCTTCAACATATTCCTTTACCAGCTTGAGTTCAGCTATTTCTTAGAGTTTCCATCTTCAACTTTTGGACTAGCTTTGATAACAGTTGGATAAAAAACAAATTGCTATACAATGGAATTTTTGGCCTTTTCATCTAGCATTTCAGCATTTTTTGAAGTAATTTTTCCAAAAGCCTTTACTTTTGCGAGGTCGTGAAATACATAGCAGCTTTAAACACTAATAATCTTCGTTAATTGATAAGCTGTTTTTGAAACTTCCAAAAACAGCTCATCACTTAATGCTAATTTTGGCATGCAACTGAGCGCATAGCGGTTCAAGATATTGAATTCCGAATTTTGTAATTCCAGTCCGGAACGAGTCTAGAAACAAGAATAATGATTTTATTCTCATTATACAATCGGAAATGGAGGAAGGCTGTCAGAAAGAGGAGATAAAGCTGCATCGAATGACACCCTGACTGCTCTCCGTGTTTTGTTCTCTGAGAATTGGGATGGTTAAATATGGAGCTTGATAGCATCAGAAAACTATTCTCAATAATTTTGGGAATCCAGATGGAGATGCCAGAAAATGTAGTATTGCATTTTGTTTGCTCTATCCAATGGTTGTCGAGGCTAGTCCAAAAGTTGAAAATGGAGATTTCAAAAAATAGCCAGGCTCGAAATGGTCAAGAGATTCTGACGAATACTCTAGTGGACATCAAAGAAGTCTGAACAAAAACATATTCTAGAAAGAAAAAAAATTTTGCATCAAACGCTGTTTGAGCGTTTGTCTATCGTCATCCTAGGTGCCCTAAAGGCAGTGGCTCGGAAAAACAGCGACTGGGGCTTTTCACAGCTACATGGCCTTCTGAACCAGCTGAGTCAGGTACTGTGCTTGAAATATACCGGTACATATAAAGCAGAAAATCTGTGAGTTTGTTTGTGCGCATTCGGGTGCGGGGTGTGCAGGTTGTGCAGGGTGTGCAGGGTGTTCAGGTTAAGCAGGGTGTGCAGGGTGTGCAGGGTGTGCAGGTTGTGTAGGTTGTGCAGAGTGTGCAGGTTGTGAAGGGTGTGCAGGGTGTGTAGGTTGTGCAGGATGTGCAGGTTGTGTAGGTTGTGCAGGGTGGGGAGGGGGTAAGTGAACATGCTGATTCGAATACATTATTGACAGGACCGGGCGGAGCCGGGTTTGCCAGCTCGTATATTATCCTACTATAATAACGCGCTAAGGCCGTCTGTTTTTTTGTGTGTGTGTCTGTCTGTAAATCTGTCTGTCACGAAATTCATAGAGTAAGCTGCAACTAAGCTATCGGGCTGCAATTTTGCACAACATACCGTGCCAGCGTGTAGGCTCACCATGCACAAAGACGAACCAATTCGATAAGCGGGTCCTTCAAAAATTGCGCCTCAAGCGGGTCCACCTGGCTTTTGCTGCGCAAAACTAGGTCACAATTTCAACTTTTTGCAAAGTCCTGATTTGCCTGACAAGCAAATCTGCGCTCCAAGAATTCCAGCTCAAAAAGTGCTCTAAAAGT